GGCCTCTACTTTTGGGCTTCTGTGTTCATCTCTGCATTTTCTAGTTTTAGCAAGAATCCTGCTAAGTCAGTTTAACCAGAATCCCCACCCTTGAGATCTGATCACCTTCAATATTTGATCAGGTTCCTTATCTTCCGCCATCCCCAAGTTAATGCCTCATGACTCTGGCTTGCCTTCAGCAAAAATCCTGTTAGGTTGATTTAGCCAGAATCCTCCCTTACTCTGATGTTTTCTCTTAATAATTTCCCATCCACTGACCACTACCCTGCTCCTTGGCTATAAATTCCCACTTTTCCTTGTTGCATTCTGAGTTGAGCCCGATCTCCCTTCCCTACTATAAAACTCCATTGTAGTAGCTCCTCTTAAATAAATTCTGCCTTATCATCTTTAACAAGTGTTAAAAATAATTTTTTCTTTAACAAGACTCATGTGAGTTCTTTCGCAAGCTAGTACGGCTTAGGGAAACATACACAGACTCACCGAACAATTGGCTCATACATTTAATTTTTAGTATTTACCCATAATAAAAGTTATCTTACCGCCTCTAATCTTTGAGCATGGTATTCTTCTGCTGAAAAATATTTTCCTGGTATTACCAGTTTATCAGTCATATTTGATACATATACACCAATTTTAGTCATCTGTGTGGATGTTGTATTTGTAGTTTGTTGGAACTTTTGTCTCTGAAAAACTGTCTAAAATAAAAACAAAAAGATTTAAATAAATGTCCACTACATACACATATAAGTGAGTAAAGAGCATATTTCCCTACATATTTAAGTTAATTTTCTTAATTTAATTATTCTAATTGTCATATAATTCTTTAGAAGACTTCAATTTTAGAGAGGTATACAGTACAGCATGTGTTGATTCTGTAGCTTCAAAAAGCTACATGGAAAAATAAAAATATTACCTGTGTATCCCTACACAATACATTATGTTTTTCAAGAATCTTTTTAGGTACAGTTTGTGTTCCAGCATTATGATATTCTATTCCTGTTATTTTATGTCTGAATCCACCAAGATATGGTTTGTGAAAGTCAGATTTTATAATCTCAACAGCTACCTCCTGGTACTGATCAATGCCTGAGGAGATAAAACCAAGACTGAATGAAAGTTCAACTACAAAGGAACTCTAAAATACTTTATCTAAAAAATATCAAATAACTAACCAGTTTGCACTCTGACAGTTATGATTTGAGAGACGTCATTTAATCCATCTATTCTTTTGATTGGATATCGATCTGGATGTGTAGAAAAGATTTCCACTTGTACAATATCCTGTGCCTTCACTCCATGTTGTAGTAGAGTCTCATTATTTTTAAGAATCATTCCTAAAAATGAGATAAAATTATAAGAAGTGTTATGACAAAGAAATGAATATATGTACTCATTTCAAGGGGATAGAAAACATCAAAGGTGCTTATATGAACACATATTGTTTAATCATCAAATAGAGTATTGATGGTATCCTCCTCCTGCTGTTATGTTAGTACAGAAAACTCCACCATGGGAAAAATTAAGGGGGTACTCTTGAGCAAGAAGTCAGCATTATAAGCAAAGCAAAGCTACAATTCTCAACTCATCAGAAATATAAATCTATATTAACCATGCAACTCTATAAACATTTAAAAATAAAAAAAACATATTCTATAATATGGGCAAAATCATATTCTAAACATTGACTCTCTAAAAAATCACAACGTGTTATATGTAAGTACAAGACATATCCATATCAAAGAAACTCTGATTATTTTAATACCCAACCCTCTCTCCAGTGCAGAAAAGTATCTACTCAGAATTCCAAAGAATCTCTTCCTTTTTGTTTCTATAATCAAAAATTCATATAAATTAATTCATGCCAAGGTGGAGTTAAGTCTCAGTTTTACGCTGGAAAAAGTGTACATCACCTTATTTTCATGTTGTATTGCTTCAACTTCTACCCTCCCCCACATTGGTTTATTCTATAAATTGACTCATTTTATTTCTCTATTTTAAGGCATACAAAAATATGTATAACGTTATTCAGTGCTGTTTTGTATCATGGAAACTTTATTGATAGAATCTATATCAATCTTCCAATGTACAGTCTTCCTAAACTATAATTAGAAATTTGAACAAAGCAAAGGTTTTGTTATACTCATTCTTAGAAATATATCAGATGCCACTAGTCTATTTTAGCTATGTTCAAGAAAGCACATTCAAAGATCTTTGCGTTTCAATTTCACAACCTAAATTCTTAATTTAAAAAACTAACATGAATGTTATATGGGTTTCATGATAGTTTGAATAATGACCCCAAAATATATCCATGTCCTAATCCCCAGAAGCTATGAATGTTATCTTATATGGCAAAAATGACTGCAGATTTTATTAAATTAAGGATTTAGAGATGGAGAGATTATCCTGGATTATCCAGGTGCTCCCTACGTGTAAGCACAAGCACCCTTATAACAGGAAGGAAGAGGGAGATTTGACTACAGAGGAGAAGATGATATAACAGAAGCAGATAGAGATTTGAAGATGCAGTGCTACTGGCTTTGAAGATGGAGGATAGAGACTATGAGTCAATGAATGCAAGGAATACAACTCTAGAAGCTGGAAAAGACAAGGAAGCAGATTCTCCCCAGAACCTCCAGAGGGAGAATGGCCCTGCTGACCTTTTGACTTTATCTGAGTGAAATTGATTTAGGATTTCTGGTCTTCAGAACTATAAGAGAAATAATGTGTTATTTTAAGTTACTAAGTTTTTGGTTAATTGTTACAACGGCCATAGGAAACTAATACAGATTCCCAGAGCCCTGCTCATTCCTCTACTTGTTTTTATAGTAGGCTTAGTCCCGCCAAACTTAAACTCCAGTTCTAGTACTAGAAGAAAACACCTATCTTAAAGGGTGGTTGACATAGAATCAAGCCTGTTACCCAGTGGTGATGCCTGGTACTTACACATAAAGAAGAAAGGTCACGAAGTGCAAAGAACAGAGAGATTCTTAGGTACCACTGGCCAGCTACTCCAGTCTCAACGCACTCTCTCTTCTCCAGTTTTGAACTATATTTAAGTTCAGATTCTGCCACTTATTACCTGTGAATTTTCACAAGTTCTCCAAGCTTTAGTTTCCTTCTCTCAAAAAGAAGTAAATAATCATAATACCTACCTCAAAGGGTTCTTGTGCAGATTGTGATAATGTAAGCAGAACATTTTGTAGAATGAGTAGCACATAGTAAGTGCTCAATAAATTGACTATCATCATCAACATGATCATTATTATTACTAATAATTATTTAAATTTTAGCTTTGTTTCCCCAACCAAGCAGCTGTTTGAATACATGAGCATCTTACTATTAGAGCAGATTCATTATAATAGTTTTCTAAAAATAATTTTGAAATTGTACTTCTCTGATTTGGCAAAGAGGAAGAACTTGATAGGTATGGCTTACTCCTTTTTAGCACTTAGGATTTTCCCACAAAAAATGTTCTTATTCCCTGGAAACTTTTTGTGGCATTTTGATAAGTTAATATCAAAATTTTTTATACTAAAACATTAGGATCTGTGCAGACATATTCTACAGAAACATTTATTTAGCTATGTTAGTCTGGTTAACTCTATCACAGTTACAAAGACTGCACCCTCTCATGACACAAGGCTAATATAAAGCGGGCTGCTCAACACTGCCCACAAAACATAAATAAACTTGAACATCATGGAATGAGAATTGACCTTGACATACACAAGACTGATAGACAAACGATTTTCAGTCCTTTTCGTATTCTATACATGCTCATGCATCATCTATTTTTTTCAACCTCATTTCCTTCCACTCCCCACATATAATCTACTTCAGCCACTCTAAACTTACCACTTTCCAAAAGTCCCAGCTTTTCTCATCTCCTTGGCACTTAGCACAAGTATTATCACTTTTATTAAATGAAGCTTTCTAGAATCTCCCAGTTTCCCTCCTCCCTGTTCTCATAGCTTTTTGTGCATATCTCCATTAAAACATTTACACACTATGTGGTAACTATTGCATGCATCTTCTTCCTTACTAGTCTGTAAACAACTTGAGAATAGAGATTTGTTTCACGTTTTTTTACATCTTCAATTCTTAGCAATGTATTAAGAACAAAGTATGTCCTCAATAAAAATATCAGGGCACATTTTTATGCAAGGAATGAATGCAAAACCACAATATAATGTTCAAACACTAAATATGTTGAAATGGACAAGAAACAATTGTCTTTAGTTAAAAGCTGTGTTATTTTGAATACAAACATAGTTAATTCGACAAAGAACAGCATACCTCTCAGCATTATGAGATATAGTTCAGACTAATTTAATGTTCTTTAATGTTCCACCATTTTTAAAACATGTTTTAATTGTAAAGTTAATATCTTTTACAAAATGTCTTTTGAAAGCACTGTTATAGTTGTATGAAGATGTTCAAATATTGAAGGGGGTCTAAATATAATTTATTTTCATTAATATAGTTAAGTTTTGAAAACAAATTAAACATTCGAATTTTACAACAACATAAAAAAGATATTTAGTTTAACAAGTCAAAGATCTTGATAATTTAAACGTCAAAACTAAAGAAGCCTTGATAGGTTTTATTAACCTCCAAGCTTACCTGAACATCTTATCTGCAGTACATCAGGTGGGACACTTAATAAGGATGAAAAATGATCCTTGAGGTATTTAAAAATGGTGTCAATTTTAAAAGGCATTACAATTTCCTGGCCCACAGGAAGAAGTACAACTTTTACTGTAGATAAAAGAGAAAAGAACGAATCGTAGTCAAAAGCAAGAGTCAGCAACCCAGTCCACAAGCAGATGGAGAATCATGGGACAATTTTTAACCACACAGCGTGCAGGTTGCTTCTGCCACGTTCCCCCACTGCACCTCCACGATAAGAGATACTGTCCATTTTCTATGAGAAGCAACCAATATTCAGTTGCAAACTTTTGCTTTGAAAATCTCAAGAATTTTGCTAGAATCTCAAGAATTAGCATCAATGGTCAACACTTGCTCTCCAAACTCCAGCCCCAAGTTCAGATCTCTCTTCCATTCCCTGCTATGAGGGTCAGTGCAGGTTTGGTTTACCTCCTCACTCAGAACAGTACAAGAATTAGGAAATAAAACTAAATTGCTTTTAAAGATTCCCAATATCTGGTATATATTACTAAGATGTTACATAGGAAACATCTCAGAAAACTAAGCATTTTTGTGTAGTGAGTGTTGGAAAGGGACACCCTGAGACCAGAGGGTGTCCCTAAACTTAGAAATGTGCATGCTTTGATTACATATTGGCATCACACGTCAGTAAATCAGTGTGTGTTCATGAAGTTAAGAAAAACTAATAGGGAAATTTTCAAAGAAAGTTTTCTTTGACCTTGCAACTATAAAAGATATCTAGTACTAAGTCCATGCTTCTTCCCATAATTGATTTATGTCTATAGTTGTCAAAATGCAAAACAGAAAATCACTGTTTATTACCAATATCTGGAATAACTACCTGAAAATCTACTTTTCACAAAAATGGACATTATGTGGCTCACTTCCTACTCTACAAAATAGAAATCAAGACCCTCAAAATGTTAAACATAAAGAAAAACTGTTATTATAAAACGATTATCTATTCATAAATTATATGAAGGAAATATAGTATTTAAAAACTAATTATTAGGGGGTAAACTTTTTTCTTTTACATCTACAGATTTTAAATTTTAAAGGAGAAAATGTAATAAGATGGAATATAGAGTGTACACTGTGGGCCAAAAACGTTTTGTATATTTCTAGATGCCTGACATGACAGTTTCCATAAAGCTAAATGAGACATTTATCAATAATCCCATGATGAAATTGAACTAGGCACTCAATGCTAAGGGTTCTTTGAGTTTGTTAAAACTTGTTTTCACAGTTCTGTATCAACAAAGAGAACACTTTCACAGATGTTAAATTATCAGAAGGCTATTTTAGTTGTTTTATGCATTCAAAATTCTATAATTAATATATTTTAAAATTTTCATAGCAGTGACTTCCTAAGCTTTGGGAAAGGGAGATGCATTACGGAATTTGTGTGCCTCAGGAAGTAGAGGCCCAAGACAACTTTTTTAAATCACCATGTGTTTGTTATAAGCTACAATATCAGGGAATCAGAGAAATACGAAAAAATAGAGCCCAAATTTACACTGAATCATGAAATTGGAAGATAACAGCTTCAGTTAGGTATAATTGGGCTTGATTAATTTCTTCTCCTTCCTCCTTTTTATTCTTTAATTTGTATGGACACACCACACAAGGGTAAGCTACCCCAGTGGATTCAAAAGCTACATTTTACCAGCCAAACTAAGCTTCTGTTATTGCTGTTAAATGATGGCTCACGTTCTCTACTCTGTGGATGGACACTCTCCCAAAACTGATGGACAACGGGGAGACGGAGCAGTCAGCTAACCACGCAAGTCAAATGGTTCTCTGTGAAACCACTTTGTTGCTGTTCCCCTCTGCTTTGTTACCAACAATGAAGTAATAACTCCTACATGCCATCGACATTATGTCTTTAAAATTAACCAATAATGGAAGACAACAATGATTTTTCTGAAGTTAAATATAAGGTTAACACTAAGCAGAAATATGGAAATACGTAAAAGCAATAAGATATATGGAATGAGCACTGGATATGAAAATAGAAAATCTGGAATCAAGTTCCCATGCCACCTCTTGCTAGCTATGTAAAATGAATTCCAAAGTGGCATGCAAAAGAGTTACAATTATACTCAAGAATTTGTCTACTGTTTTCCAAGGTCCCTAAACATTTTAAAAGCTACTTTATTTGGGAAAAACAGATAAATACCAACTTAAAATTTAATGATGTTCATTTATTTAGGGAGAATAGATACTGCAGAATAGAGAAGCTTCACAGATAATTAAGAGATTCAAGTAGTGTAGCTACAGAAGTTTAGAGGATAAGGGAAAGTAATATCAAATATAAAATAAATCTTCGAGCAAAAACAAACAAGAAAAAGCACTCATTCTTCAAAATGAGGAAAAGAAGGGGCCAACTTGGCGGTGTAACGGTTAAGTTCACGTGTTCTGCTTTGGTGGCCCAGGGTTTGTGGGTTCGGAACCCAGGCACAGACCGACGCACCACTCGTCAAGCCATGCTGTGGTGGTGACCCACATACGAAATAGAGGAGGACTGGCACAGACAGATGTTAGCTCAGGGACAATCTTCCTCGAGCAAAAAGAGGAAGATTGGCAACAGATGTTAGCTCAGGGGTCAGTCTTCCTCACACACAACGAAAAAAGAGGAAAAGAAATATCCTGTCTTCCCTAGGTAATACCTGTTGCTAAAGAATCTTTCATTGATGTTTTCAGAGATTCCTTTATAGCCTTTATTTTATCCAGAAATGTCAGAGAACCATCATTTGAATACTGTTTGGCTGACTGCATTGCACTATCAGAATTAATTAGATAGGGCTTTTCATGACTTGGAGAATATGAAACGAGTTCAGGTGACATAACCTCTTCCGAGGCCTGTTCTTTATCCCTTAGTTCCAGGCTTGAAGAGCTCTGGCCACTCCGCTCCTCAACACCAGATGGTTCTAATTCAGATTCATGGCCTCCAGTTTGATTTGACTCTGGATGCTCTTCTGAGGAAACTGGAATATTGATAGTCTCAAAAGCATCTTCACTTTCTTCTGATGCATCAACAACATTCTGAGCACTAAATTCTTCCTCCTCCTGATCAGACATTTTCCTGAACTGAAAAAAATAAATACATTTACTACACATAAAAATTTCTACACCAAATATCAAATTCATTGCTGGTTTACAGTTATGTTCATAATATACTACAATGTTGCTCATTATTTTTTTAAATATTAATTATCCTAGTAATGGTATCAGGTAAAACATTGGTGAATTTTTAATAAAAACACCACAGAAAGTAAAAATATGTACCAAAAAGATAACCTCAGAACACAACAAATTTGAGATTAATCTTCTGTGAAAAATATTTTAAAATATATTTTCATCTCTTCCTTATTCAATGAACAATGCCTTGTGAAAGAAGGACTTTTTGAATAACTCTTTTTCTAAATACAAAACTAACACGGGATTTATCCCTCTGGCATTACAACTGATTAGAAGCTCCAAGGAACTTACCAACTCAGCAGCAACTATATCCTAGATAGGACACACTCTTTGTAGCAGCTTTGCTCTCACAAATTGTAGCAGAGGTCCCCACTGACCTCTGCCCCACAGAACAAACACATCAACAAACAAACATGGGTTGATCTTGGAGGTGAGTAGGGTCTGAGCTACAGCAAGATCTTTGGCTTGGGAGATGGTGTGACAGCATCCAGGAGCTTGGGCCAGGTGGGCTAGAGCAGCCCAGAGCCAAGCTGCAGAGGTAGGAGCTAGATCAGAGCATTAAGGAGCCAGTACCTATAGCAGCTGGCAGCCAGGAAGTGGGGATAGAAGAAGTGGCCTTGAGGTCCATTTCTGTGGCAACAACGGGGAAGATTAAAATTTGGAACAGTAGTGAGGTGGGAAAGCTGTGTTTGGGACTTCTACTCCAAGCACAAATCCTTATGGAGAAAAAAGTTAACCTCAGCCAGTGAAGTTCTCTGGCTACTAGATGACAAATTTCAAAAAAAAAAAGGAATATCTGGAATAAAAATATATACTTGTTGAATTCAATGAATATAGCATTAGCATTGAAGATTAACTGGAAGATAAAAAGATTTTATATAGAATGCTGCAAAGAGATAAGGATATGAAAAATATGAGAGATTAAGAGACATGGAAAACAGATAAAGAAAGTCTAGCATATTTTTCTGCTAAGGATATATCTTTGCTGTGAGCTAAGAATGGTTTTGTATTGTTAAAATAAAAAACAACAAAGAATATGCAATAGAGACTGTATGTGGCCTGTGAAGCCCTTTTCAGAAAAAGTCTGCCAGTCCCTGATCTAGCATGTGTCAAATTGGAATCCCAGAAGAAAACAGAAAGATGGAAGAGAGGAAATATTTTAAAAGGTAATGGCTGAGAAGTTTTCAAAACTAAGAAAAATATGGATCCAGAGATCCAGGAAACACAACATAAATATATACCTAACAGATAAATAAAAATAATTCATTGCCATCCACACTGTAATTAAATTACAGAATAACAAAGAGAAGGTCTGGAAAGCAAACTGTGATAAAGGACATATCACCTACTGTTTTGAATCATATTAATTTGCTGACATTAATACAAAGAAAAGTAAAATTACTGCAGATTTCTCATCAGAAACATAGAAGCCAAGGCAACAATCGACTAATTAAAAGAAGACAACTATCAACTTAGACTTGTGCACCCAGCAAGATTATCTTTCAAGAAAGAAAACAGAAACATTTAAAATAAGTTACCACTAAGATATCTGCTCTAAAGGATATACTTGAAGAAGGAGGAAATGGGCCCAGTGGAAGTCTCGAGTGCACGAAGGAAAGGCAAACAAATCAGAAACACACGGGTAAACCCAAACAAATAGTGTCAACACAAAATAGTAGTAGAAAACTGAAATGTTAAACAATAATAATATGTAATTGGGAAGAGAAAGATAAGAATAAACTATTCTCAAATCCTTATACTGTTTACAAAATTGAGGGATATGATATTCTTAACCCTAGACTTTGCTAAATATGAATAGTTAAATTTCAAGTACAACCAATAAAAGAACTGAAAGTTTTAAAATTCCAAAACAATAAAGAGAAAAAAAGTGAAATGAGAAAAAAAAGAACAAAAATCCAATTTTTAAAAAGTTCAAGGAATCTCTTTAGGCTCTCACCCACAAAAAAATCTTCCTTTTGGTTCTTTTTCTCCCATAACAGAGCTTAATGGCCTGATTAGAAAGAAAGAATCATAAGGAAGCCCTAACTCCTAGCAACATACTCATCTGCGCTTTTTGGAGAGTCTGAGGTACTGTTTTTTTCTCTCTGGTGGGTCATCATTTCCTCAAAATGGTCTGGATAGCATCTTTTAAAACAGCAACAGTAATAACATCAAGAACTTCTGCTATTCAAAAAACACAACTAGAAGAATAAAAAGACAAACCATAGACTGGGAGATAACTTTTTTGCAAAAGTCATATCTGATAAAAGATTGTATCCAGAATATACAGGAAACTCTCAAAACTCAATAATAAGAAAAAAAATGAGTAAAGGATTTAAACAGACATGTCACCAAAGAACATAAACAGAAGGCAAATAAGCCAGGACTAGACGGAGGCAGAGGCAGCCCCCGCACTGCTCTACACGTGGACTTGTACCTGAGAAGAAATGCCTCCTGAAATTCTGGACCTGCTTGCCTCAGTTGCCTCACTCTAGTCCTGGCCCTGAGAATAAGCACATGACACGACGCTCAATATCATTAGTCATTAGACAACGCAACTTCAAATCACAACGAGAGTCCGCGACACACCTATAAGAATAGTTAAAATATTTTTCTTAGGCCAACAATACCAAGTGCTGGTGAGCGTGAAGACAAGTGGAGCTCTTATACCCTGATGGTGGAAATGAAAATTGGTACAACATTGGGATAATTGTTTTCTTATAAAATTAAACATACATTATTTTATGTATGTTTACATAAAATGGGTCATACATTATCATATGATCCAGCAATCTGTGTCCTTTACCCAAGTGGCATGAAAAACTACATTCACAGAAAACCTGTACACAGAGGTTTATAAAGGCTTTGTTCTTAATCACTCAAGACTGGAAACAACACAAACGTTTCTTAGTTGAGGAACGGATATGTTACTGAACGCAAACACAGGTTTTTTTTACCAGCCACACAAGGGGGCCAAACAAAACCTGGAACGCCAGGCTTACGGCAAGGAAAGGGGTTTATTTTGGGTGACATCAGCAGGGAGGCCAGAGTCAGCCAGAGTCAGTCCTCAAATTCATCGCCTCGAAAGTTGGGACACAAGGGTTTTTAAAGGTTGTAAGGAATGCAGCAGCTTGTAGGGAGCAGGAGCCTGTGGCCTTGCTGGTTGGTACTCTCCCTCCAGCCTACATTTGGCCGTGTGAGGCTGCTTGCAGTGCGGAGGATGGCAAGATAAGGGAATCCAGAGGTGGGTGTCCTTGGTTGTCTGCCTCCATGATGGGTGATGGATTCTGGCACCCGGAAGCTGACCAGCTGGGGTCTGGGAAGCTTCAGCTTCTTGATATACTCTGGATATCAGTTTCCCTGTAACAAACCTCAAGAACCCATAATTAGCCAAAACTTCAGTGTGAGCCCAGAGTGAGGCCACCTGGGCTTTTAACAATTTGTAACTTCTACTTACTGTGGTAGTGTGTGTGGGGTGGGGTGGGGTGGATACAAAGCTTAAAGAAACCAATATTTACATATGAATGTAACTAGAGAAGCAGGGAAGCGGATGGGTGTTTTGGGTTTTAACCCCATATATGCCGGGTTTAACATAGGGGAACAGATATCAGGGCCAGCATCAGATACACATACTATTTTTACATTTATAAAATGGAATACTACTCACCAATAGAAAGGAATAAACTATTGATACACATAACAACATAGATGAATCTCAAATCAATTATGCTAAGTGAAGAAGCCAATTCTAAAGGCATGATTCAATTAAGTGAAAAAGCAAAGTTGTTGGTTCACAACCTTTAGAGTTCCTTGGGTGAAATCTGAAACTGCACCCTGTACATGGAGGGCAAGGAGAGTCTGAAGAAAGAGGCAAACCACTCTAGACTCATAGGTGGCAGGTTTACTAAGCAAGGGGACTTACTATGAGGCTTGTCTTCCACAGCTGCGAGACAGTAGATCTCCGCACCCACCCACCAGAGTCTTGAGTTTATACAGAGGCCTTAACTGGGTTCAGCCACATATACAGTTCAGATGGTCTCAATAACACATTACTCTCTCAAGGCTCAGTCCTTGAAGCCCATCCTAGTACAGGAACAGTGGGTAGAAGGTACCCACATTCCCAGGACAAGGGAGGGGGTAAGGAGCCTCCCACTGCCCCATCCAGTTCATGGGTGAACCAGCAGTCACGTCCTCTGGATGACCTCCTCCAACAAAAGCACAGACCAGTATGTGCAATGTTACAGGTACAACTACATATTTGTACATGCATAGAATACCTCTAGAAGGTAACTTTTTCTTTTTATGTATTGTCTATCCAAACTTAAATGTTTTAATCTTAAAAAAAATTGTTTAAAAAGAAAAAAGTTTCTATTATGATTGCATACAAAAAAAGTCCCCCTTTCACCTACCATGCATAATTTCATTGCTATATCTAGAATGTTCTAGATATCTAGTGTAAGTAGTAAGACGGGGATCCAGTTTTGCCTTCTACCAAATAGACTTGCTAAGTTTTTTAAGAGGCACAGCGAAGACCATGGGTGGAGAGGAGTGAGAATGCCAGTGAAGAAGGTCGGAAAGCCCTCTATTTACTCAAGACTGAAAATGCTCACCATGGAGGGCTAAAAGTTTTCTAATGCCAGATCTGGGTTACACACACAGATGGTCTTGCTTCTGCACTATTACTGTGATAAGCATTCGGAGTGAGCGGTCCTCCAGGTACACCTCCTAGCTTGATGCTGTGGCTTCTGAATCCCAAATCAGAGAAAAGGAGACAGAAAAGGAACCAAGAAAGATGGGATGCTTTGCACGGTTTTTAAAGTAAAGGTGGAACACTCTCGAGCGGCCAAGCAGTCCCCAGAGCCCAGGGGATCAGCGCCCCGCACGGAGTCCTCGGAGTCTAGCGCCGCAGTCACTGACTCAAGGCCGGTCTAAGCCTCGGGCCAGGAGAGGGCAGCCAGAACCTGTCCTCCTACCTGACTAAGAAACGCAGCTACTCGGGTCGAAGCGGTTTCTCCGGCTCTTAGGAAGCAGCGTCCCACTCGCCGGATTCTCTGTTGCCGGCCGTATCCTAGCAACGGCCCTGACGCCACCTCCTCCCAACCCGGCACAGCGGCCGCGAGAAGGGGCGGGACCCGCGCTGAAAAGGAGCAAGGCGGAGGGGAGGGGCGGAGCCAGGGGGCGAGGGGGCGGGGAGAAGAAAGGAGACAGAGGAGGGCGGGGCGAAGAAATGCGGCAAAGGAGGGCGGGGAGAGGTGGCGGAGAAGGTAGTACCTGCCTCTTACCTCGATTGGCAACTTGCCAAGATCCCTTTTACATTCGTAACAGGGTACGGTTCTCCAAACCAAACACTGATAGCAGTTTGCGCTTGTAGCTATAAAAAGTCAGGATTAGAGAAAATGTGAATACGAAGTAAGAGTTAAGACCTTGACAAAGGAGAACCCAGTTTTACAACAGTAGGTGCCTACTTGCTTTTGCTAAATTTAGAACTTGGCTCTTAGCTTCCTGGCAGCCAAAGAGAAAAGGCAGACAGGAGCTGTTAAATAACTCTTCTTTAAATCACGAGAAGCAAAGCTTTTGTTAATCACTGAATTATAAAGATATTTTTATATCACTATAAATTCTTTAAACTGAGATTTTTAAAGACGCACATATTATTAGGGGAAAGAATCAATTATGTTCCTATTGTAAATGTAGTAGCACACTTTTTGTGGCTTCATAATAATAGCTAACATTTATTATTATTTGTTACTAAGCACTTAACTTATATTTCTAATTTAATCCTTACAGTGATTTTATTAAGGAAGAACTGTGATTAGCCCCATTTTACAAATGAGGAAACTCTCGTTTAGTGGGGTAGCCAGGATTAAACCCAAGCAGTCTGACTCCAGGCCCTCGATTTTAAACCACCATTCTATGCTACTGTGTTTAATTTAACACCCTTTGATATTTAAAAAGGATGTAAGATTAAGTAATAAAATTAAAATTTTTGTTATGTATAATACGGGTCCATTCCTCCTTCATAAAGTTCAATGTCTTCACTCCTTTATACCTTTCCCCTGAAATTGCATTCTCATCTCCCCAATAACTTCCTAATGTCCAATGTCATTTTTTCAGTTTTCATTCCATTTTAAAATAGACATTTCTTACTAGAACAATGTAAAATTTTTAATGTTCTCAGATAAAATTGGCTTTAATAATGGTTTTTTTAAAAAGCAAATGCATTTAAATGACTTCATGAATCCATATATTCATGGAGAACAGAGAAAAGGGGGAAAAAGGGAATACAGATAACCACTAGGGTTAGTCTTTCACGGGTGAGCCAGGTGTGACTGGAGGTTTACAGACAAGTTCTTCCAAACACTCCCCCACTCCCATCTCCAAAATCATAATGTATCTTAAATTTTACTAGTAATGAGAATTCCATTGGTTTTAAACACTTACTTTTCTGGGTTTCCTCTGTAAATTTATCATTCACTGTCATCCGTAGTAGGGACTGTAAAAAAACTAGATTTAGGCATAGAGGCAGGAGATGGAGGGAAGAAACCCAGTGGTAGAGAACTTCAAGTACTTCACAGCATTAAATGTGACTTGATACCCACTATATGTTCACATTTTATTTATAGTTTGCTATGGAGATGATCTTGTACAACTTAGTCTTACAATATGAGCCTAACTTAATTGGTAGGCTTCCCAGGTAGTCTATGCAGGTTGGAAAGGTTATTAACACATCCAAATCACATATGCATACATTTACACACACAAATATATAGTTGTTTCGTTCTACAAAATCAATGTAAATGCAAGCTGAAAACAACCAATAGGAAAAAGACTCTCAGTTCTGAAAGTAAAAAAGTGATTTTAAAATATCATTTTCCATTTTACTTTTCATGATAAACTTATGCATTTTCTCAGGATTTATTGACCAAAATGACTTATCTTTATTTCTCATGAAACATCTACCTTTATTTATCTCAGCATTTATTTATATAATAAACATTTCTTTTAATGTGCTTTTATTTTTACAAAGATGCCACCTAGTGGCTTTATGAAATCAAGCATTTCAAAATATTTCCCATTGTTACCTCAGGCTAAAATGTATTTTGATATAAATGAATGAATTAGAAAAAAATTAGAAGAATAATGTAGAAAACCAAAGACTTGAAAATTATGCTTTGGAATTATGTATATGGATTAAATTTGTTTTATAATACCTCTGCGAGCTCGTTAAGAGACTGGAAATACAGAACCATAGTCTCTTTTCTGAAACCTTAAGGGACAGATGTGTTTGAAATTCAGAATTTTTCAGATTTTTGAAAGGTAATATGGGCATATACTATATATTCTGTAACACCTTCAGTGGATCTGGAGAAGTTGTCCAGAATCAAACACATTAATACTTCTGTGGCAAAATATATCCATATTCACATCAAGTGGGATAAAGACCACAAATAGCCTTATGTCAATTCAGGTCAGATTTTGCTTCCAAATGAGTTATGAAAAAACTTCCCTTTGCAAACATTTTTGGAGTTTGGAATTTAGATAGGGAATTGTGGACCTGTTTTACCCTGAGAAATAGAATCAACTCTCCTGTTATAGAGAAAAGAGAGTAAAATGAAATATTATCATAAAATAGTAATGTTTATCTTTAGAAATGCCTAAAAGGTTCACCTGAAAAAAAAAAAAGATCATGAGAAATTCCAAAAAAAAATCTCTGCAATGCTTTTCATTTACAGAGTCATATACAGAAAGAAGCTAATCCACCATAAATTACATTTAAGCACACTCCAAAAACTAGTTGCTAATATAAACCTAAAGATCACTTTGAAAATTCATTATTAGCCATGCATGGCAGCTAAATTTATGAGTTCTATAGCACATTCAAAAAATTTTTTTAACCTCGGTTTTCTGTTTCTTTTTCGTTTCTATGTGTGATTTGCCACGTTCCCTTTCCCCGGCTCCTATCTCTATGGAAGCATGTGTTGAGATGGCACCATCCGCAGCCAGGATGCCTTGTGTGACTCTTCTGAGCACTGCCAACCCTGATTAGACATGTAATATGAATAAGAAACAAACTTTTGTTAAGACTTTGGGATTTAGGGGTAGTCTATGCTAATTCACTACATTCCCTCACTAACTAGAGTTTTGGTTTATTACCTCTAAATAAAGACTTTCAAATAAATTTCTTTAGTCCCCGTCAATAACTCTAATCCCATATCACATTCCCAGTTTGATTTCTTGTAAATTCTATTTAAAATAAACTTCATCCTCCTCTAAACTAGACTTCTATCTTCTCATTTACTTTTTTCCCCAAAAGTATTACTGTTATCGTAGCATAGGCTGCAATCCCATTGAGTACTGAATTTTAAAGGAAATTCTGCTCTCAGATGCAAATTACTCATGGTATGTTCAGTGAATTGGTTCAGTGACTCTACTTTATCCTATACCCCTGAACACACTTGCACAGGAGGTTTCTTCAACTTCTGTTTGTTTATATAACCATGGAGGCTGGGAAGAAAAAAAGGCTATTAGCCTATATGTGGGAATTTTCTTATATAGAATATTGCTGATTTTCTCCTTTTGAAAGAGAAAACGTGAGGGTAGCGTCTGCCTTCTGGTGATTAAGAGGCCTGATATAGATAACTGGGGAAATGGCACACAAGCTCTGAAGTCCTCTCTGCAGTGGGAGAACACGTAAGCAAGGTCCTGCAAGACCTCAAGATCTTGGCTTCTGAGAATAGTGAAACTGATCTCTCAGACTTTATGGGAGAGTTCCTAAATAAACAGAACATAGACGATCTGGAATATCGTCTTGGCTGTCGAAGGACTTAGAAGAGCTGGCCCAGCGGGAAGGCCTGTTTGAAAAGCCTGCTGAAGCATCAGGTAAAGAGACTTAACTTCTGAAAGCAACACAGCAAGTCTTCCCATCGCAGTGGTCCCAAAGCCAGCTGCTTAAGATTCCTGATCTTCTCCATTTGACAGAAGACCGCTTTCCTTTTTATCTAGTATCCTAATCCTCATTGTTGTGTACACAAATAAATCTGCTTTGCATTGTAACAACAAAAATCTCCATTAGCTTCACTTTTACTGCTCTTTAAGATTAGAAAAGGAAATAAGACAAAAGTAAGCTCCTTTTCTTCCATCCTACAATGCTGAGGGAAAGGTGGGGGTGGAATAATGAAGAAGGAAAGGACACAATGAAACCTGAGGCCTGGTGGCACATGATGGCTGCCACTGCTGCATCATATTCTATTCAGATGACAGACTACTTCTTTTGCCTAGGACAGTCATGGTTTATACCTGTTATCCTTATGAAATTATTAATACCTTTCACTCTCAAAATCATTACAGGTTGAATGAAAAATTATAGGGTTATCCTAGATATAAGCCATTTTCATTCTAAAAGAATGCCCATAAATTTCAATGTTCTGCACTCAGTCCACAGACAGGAGAAAGAGGGCATCAAATTTGGGGCCATTTTCTTGTTTGCAAAGCTCAAATTGATTAGCTTCTTTTTCTTTTGAAGTTTCTTTCAGTTTCTTTTCTTTTATTTTGGAATACAGTGATTAAGTTGAATGAAACAAATGAACAGCCTAGGAAGAATTGAAATGAGCCATTCTGAAAATTACTCAAATTAGTCTAGAAGCCATTCAGCAACACTGAAGATCTTTAAATAGAAGAATCATCTGCAAAGTGATCAGGGAAGCTTAATCTGGAAGTTTACAGGACGCAACAGGAAAACATTTGAAGGAGTGAAAACATTTGAAGGAGTAAAAACAATCAGGTGTAAGGTTGTACGGGCACGGGCAGTAGGAATGGCAGTAAATGTAAAAGAATGCTGGACCACATTGCAATGCCTTTTAGATACCTACCCCATTAACATTACCTGCCTGTGACCCATATGAGGATTTTTGCACAAAATGAAATCCTATATACTACTTCTGTTCACATTTGTTCTTTACAGGTACTTTGACAGAAAAAATCAAGAAGGCAGGATCTAGGTTCTTTAGGTGCAGCCCATACAGTTCAGGCAGGAGCGACAGCATCCCAAGCATATTCAGAAAGAATATAATCAGGGGCATGAGTTCGGGGGCAAGACTGTCTAGGTTCAAAATGTAGCTCCACATCTTACTGCCTATGTGACCTTGGGTATGTTATTACACCATCTCTTTGCCTCAGTTTCTCCAGGGTCCCCATGCTGCACAATTGCAGACAAGCACTACTCACACTGGATTCTGGTTTCCTTATCTGGAAAAAGAGAGATAATTTGCAAGATGTTACTCTTAAGAGTTGTAGTGCAGACTTAATGAGTGAAATTAGTCAGGTACTTAGAACAGTGCCTGACAAACATTAACATTAGCTATTATTATATTACTATGACTACTACTACTATTCTACAACTAGCATTTCTAATGCAAACATCAATAAGGTCCTCTTTCATTAACAGCCACATGACTTCTTTTGGTGTAATAGATAAGATGCCGAAGAATCATGGGAGAAAGTGGGGCTGAAAGTATGACAAAAGCACATCAAGCCATCTTTCCATTTTTATGTGCCCAAAGGACCTGAAAAAATGGTTAGAAAATTAGCTTGAAAGCATCTATGCAAACATGCCTTAGGATCATATATTTTGACCTCAATAAATGTAGTGTATTATAGATTAAAGCAAATCTTTAGAACTGAAAAGGAAGTTATAAATCATAAATTTGACTTCTTTCACAGGGAAGGAAACAGCCACTCTGAGAGGTTGACAATTCCCTCCACTTAGTCACTGAGTTCCTGATGGCACTAGAACCATGGGAATGAGAGCCCCTGGACTTCTGACTCCCCCTCTGATGCTTTTCCCACTTCCCCATAGAAGCTCTCTCTTGCAGTTTGACTGCTAAAAAGTAACTCAATCCGCTTCAATTTAACATTTATTTAGCATTCAATTTACAGCTCTATAAGGGAAGAAATACATTGGAAAAAAGAAAAATACAATTTTTTTCTTATTCTGAAAATTCTGAAAGATTCTGCTTTGCCACAAGAGATAGCAAAACACACACGCACATGCACACATATATATATATACACAAAAACAAAAGGGTTATCTTTGAAGATAAATATCAAATGTAAGTATTTAAAAATGGTAGGGGGCTAGGAAGAAAAGGTGAGGACATATGAAAAGTAATTTTTTTTGTTTAACCATAAGCTTGCCAACTGCTTCTTTCTTTGAACAGCATTTCTCTTGATACCCAGCTGCACTCATGCTGGAAATTTAGTGATAACTACTTAGTGATTCTACTTTGAAGATACAACCATCTGACCAAGATATTTTGAATATAAGCCTAGCCATATGCTGGATAAACTTTAAGAACTCTTAATATCTCTTCTTTTATAGAAATTCTGTCTCTATCCTAATGTAGTTTGGTTGATCAAGAAAACTAAAGGCTAGGGCCAGAAAGCTAACTTCCTTAAATGAGACAAAAGAAAAAGTTTTTCCAACTACCACTATAAATAAGAAATCTTTCTTTCAAATACCAAATCAATTTCCTCAAGTGTATAATGAATTCTAATTTGATGATTTTTACTTACTATTTCACTTCAAACAGTAACCTATAAATTTGTTTAAACAACAATAATAATTAAGTAGCTTTTCTGTTTTTTTCAGAATAAAAAAAATTATGTGTTTGAAATACTACTAAAAATACTTCACCTTTCAAATACGGCCTCTGCATTGAAAATCTATAGGAATTTTTCCAACTAACTTTCAAATCTTCCCACAACCTCTGTTTAAAAAAATATCACCTTTGAAATAATTTGAATGAATGCTTTATAAATCAAAAAGTGATTCACAAGGCCCTATTACCATAATCATCAATTTGAACAAGTCTCCTAAATATGTTCTGTATCAGTTTTCTTGATTATGTCAATAATATGGAAACATTTTTAATGTTTTTAATATACATTAATATTTTTAATAGAACATTTAATTACATCAGTTGCCCATCAACACACAAGTCATTTAATGCTGATTATATTGGCCATTTCCACTGGTTGACAGGAGGTTCCTCCACTAAAGGCTCCCATGGTTTCCACTGTACCATTTTTCTCGCCAGACTTAGTTCCTTTTCAGCCTGTTAATAAAATTTTTTAAAAAGATAATTTGATTATATTGCTTAATAGATAATTTATCATAGCTAATAACTGAAATATAACTATTACAGCTACTACTTTCATATTAATACCTAATAATAGGCTGTTTCACTATCAAATGTTGAACATCATTCAATTACCTTAATTCTCACAACTAGACAATCATGAGTAAGAAAGGATGGCTTTTGATTTCTTCTATTTGATTAAAATTTGCTATTAGAGGGGGCCAGCCCCGTGGCATAGCGGTTAAGCGCGCACGCTCCGCTGCTGGCAGCCCGGGTCCGGATCCCGAGCGCGCGCCAATTCACCGCTTGTTAGGCCATGCTGTGACGGTGTCCCATATAAAGTGGAGGAAGATAGGCACAGATGTTAGCCCAGGGCCAGTCCTCCTCAGCACAAAAAAAAAAAAAGAGGAGGATTGACACGGATGTTAGCTAAGGGCTGATCTTCCTCACACACACACACACACACACACACAAAATTTGCTGTTAGATTGTTCAAAAGTTTAGTTGATGACTTATCAATCATAATCGTCTGTTTCACCGTTAGACTATAAATTCTTTGAGGATCAGAAGTATGTCTCTTAATCTATGTCAATGGCTTTCTAACTTTATTTTACCATGGCCCACAGTAAAAAGAAAATACATTTTACTAAAGGATCGACAATACACACATATAACTAAAACAACTAAAAATATCATTACCTTTGCTTGCTGTAATACACTCTATTTTCCATTGTATTTTTTAAAATATGCTAGTCACAACCCATCTAACTGATTTCATGACCCATAATCACTTGAGACCTACAATTTGTAAAACAGTGATCTATGGAATGTAAGAGAATACAATGGTGCACAAAAAATATTTACTGATTGAATTAGTTTCCTTAATCAGATAATGTTACATTTAATTTTTCCTTTCAAACACAATTTATAACATATTTAGCAAATATATTTTAGGTATCTTTTTATTTCACATTTTTTCTATAACAAAAAGACTTATGACAACTCTGGCCAACTTACAAGAAGAACACTGTTGAACACTTATCAGGACATCAGAGAAAAAATTCAAACACAGAATAAGTGCTTAGATTCTATCAGAGGCTATAATTCTATAGTTAAAAGACAATGCCTCATTTATGCCAGTGGTGAAGAACAGCCAATCTATGTTTAGCAGCAACAGTCTAAAATGTATACAAACAACAAGTTAAAGAGTAGATTAATGGAAATCTGGGGGCAGAGGTATTTACTAGTGCTGAAATGAGAAAATAGGATAAATACTGATTAAAAATATCCCTTGGGGGGCCGGCCCAGTGGTGTAATGGTTAAGTTCGCACACTCCACTTTGGCAGCCCAGGATTCAAAAGTTCGAATCCTGGGCGCAGACCAACGCACTGCTTATCAAGCCGTGCTGTGGTAGTATCCCACATACAAAATAGAGGAAGATGGGCACCGATGTTAGCTCAGAGCCAATCTTCCTCAGCAAAAAGAGGAAGAGTGGCAACAGATGTTAGCTCAGGGCCAATCTTCCTCACCGAAAAACAAACAAACAAAATATCCCTTAGGGTGGCTGTTTCCCTGACTGCCCTTTGGCCTGGGTCTCTTGAACGTTCATGCTTTCTCTATGCCCCCAAAGTATTGTACAGCATGGGGAGGGTGCATAGACCTGAACATGATTGAGGTCAGCCCTATTTCAGGGAGCTGGACCCAGCTACACGTGGCTCCTGTTGCCGACACCCTCCCTCTTCTCTGGCGTCTAACACTCTATTCTTTTCTCATTTCTCTCATAAGATCCCTCTAGAAATGGACTGTTCAGTATAGCTGCCACCACCTACATGTGCCTACTGAGTGAGCACTTGACACCTAGCTAGTTCAAATTCAGATGTGCTGCAAGTATAAAATACACACCATATTTTAAACACTTAGTATAAAAAAAGAATGTGAAATATCTCAATTTTTTATGTTGACTATATGTTTCAATGATAATATTTTAGATATAATGCGTTAAATAAAACATTAAAATTAATTTAACCTTAATATCACCCATGAAAATGTGGAGAACTGCACAGCTAACTTAAAAACACTTCATGCACCCTAAGACTATAATTGCATGATAGATTACTTTATCAACTAAAGTCATGATCAAAGTGAAATCAGGTAGAAAAGAGGAACAGAAGAGGACAACAAGAAGTTTGCAGCGAGTTCCCATAACACCACACCTAGTACCAAGGTCAATCTAGCCAATGAATACAAAGGACAGAAAAATAGGCCCTTGAATGCCTAAAACAGTCTACAGGCACAGAAAGCTGTCTGAATGCCCTAGTCCTCTTTTAACAGAGGCACCGAACAAGTCTTTTGAATGTTTATATGATGTCTGTTGGTGACATACCTCCCTATCATCTCCAGTACTACCCAATATCTCCTTTTATTTGTCCTTTGATAAAAGGCAAGAAAACTTAAGAAGAAATGGTGACATTTTTAAAAAACACAAAAAAATGTAAAAATTAAATGAAACAGAATTGAGAATTTATCAGACCCTTATAAAGGAAGACATCCTAAATCTATAATATGGGGGGCTGGGGGGTGGGGGAGGTGACGAACTCAGAGTGAGGGTGCTTAGACCAAAGAAAAATTTTAAAAACCTCTACATATGGGACAAAATATTCAATTGAAGTCAAAAGACAAAGAACAGACTAAAAAGAAATGTACAGACAATATGGCAAAAGTTTAAGGTTAATATTTCTTTTATTTTTAAAAACACTCAAAAGAAATATATGAGAAAATCACTAAAAACAAATGATGCTTGCTTTTAGTTTGAGTGAAATATTAATGATATAATTTATAAAACACGAAATACAAAAATATTTTATAAGTTTAATCTTACTAGTAATTGGGGAAAAAATGCACAACTAATTTTTTAAAAGGCATCATTTCCCCTGATTTAATTAAATATTGTAGCATTCTTACCAGCATAAATGTGTTAATCCAACAGTCAAAAACAAAAGTTAAAGTATATTTTAATTTTGTGATTCAAAAGATCTATATTTTCCCATACAAAAATATATCACACCTTTAAAACTTAAAAGTATTTGTATCTGAAAAGATGAAATTATTCAAATAACAGTAATATTGTGTTACTAATTTGAACTAAGGTAAGGTTAACAATAACATGCTGATTAAATTCAAAGAGTATCAAACTCCACACTTCCAACAGAAGTCTCATAAATTCAAGTTATAATCAATGATAAATATTTAACTGACATACACATGTTAGAAGTATTTCCTGTACGTGATTAGTCTTATATTTGATGAGTTGATATAAATAAATAAATTTAGTTTTCCTTTCTTTCTGGAATGTCGGTTTTGTGCCTCTGAACATTTAAAGTCAAACATCTAAATATTCAACTTTTTCTTTACCTGAAGAATCACCTCTTCTATTTGGCCACCCTGAAGTTTGTCTTCTAATTTTTGCACATCTGGTTCCTATAATTTAAGGGAAAAAAATACAAAAATATTTAAACAAAGGAGCAGAACATCTGAATGTTTCAATATCATATATTTTAAAAACTCACATATAAAAAAAGCACTTAATATAACAAACATAATTAATCTTTCTTTTATCATACCCTTACTAATTTTTACCAAATATTCAGTGGAAACTCATTTCATCTCTCTACTACTTTATTGCTTTTCTATCTTGATATTTAAAGTGTTAAATGCTTACTGATATGTTCATTAAGGGTAAGAAATATGATGCCTAATTCAGACTTTCTAAAATACGGATTTTAAAAATACCACTTTATTTTCTTAGTATTTCCTCTGAGAGCATTAGCATTAAAAATAAATGCTACCCAATGACTCAGAATTCCACTCCTAGGTATACACCACACAGAAATGCACAATACATTAACCAAATGACATGTCCAAGAATGCTCACAGCAGCACAAATTATAGCCCCAAACTAGAAACAATCCAAATGACTATATATAATACAATGAATAAATTATAGTATTTGGATATAATAGAATACTATATAGCAATGAGAATGAACAAACTACAACTATACAAAATAACATAGATGATTTTCTCAAACAATATTAAGCAAAAGAAACCAGACACAAAAGAATACATACTGACGATTCCATTTATAGAAAGTTCAAAACCAAGCAAAATGATTCTGTGGTGGTAGAGGTCAGAAGCGGAGTTATCTTCAGGATAGTATCTTGGAGGAGAACAAGTGAGGATTTTGGCATTCTGGAAATGTCCTCTTTTTGGATTTGGTGTTAACATAGGTGAGACTACTTTGTGAAAATTCATCAGGCTTTACATTTATGATTACTGCACGTTTCTTTATGTACACTATTCTTCAATAAAAGGTTTTTAAAAAAGAAATGCTAATATAGCACCTATAACATTCAATGACATATATTTATTTACTTTCTAGTAGACCGAACTTTTTGAGAGCCAGATGTCCTATACACACACATGCGTATGTAAATAAGGTTTAAATAATACAGTGGTTTTTCTGGCCCATAATTGCAATGAAAAGAGGGAGGAAAAAAACAAAGATATTTTCTACAGGAATTGGCATGTTCCTGCCTCAGAGCATCCGCTGGTTGACCCAGGATATCTGTATGGCTTGTTCCTTCACTTCCATCCGAGTCTTTGCTAATATATCATCTTCTTAGTGAGGACCACTCTGACGACAATTTATATTGTGGTAGGCTGAATAATGTCCCACAAGATGTACATGAACTACTCCCTGGAACCTATGAATGTACCTTACAAGGCAAATACTTTGTAGATGTGATTAAGAGTCTTGAGATGGGGAAATTATCCTAGATTACCCGAGTGGGCCCTAAATACAATTACAGGTGTCCTTATAAGACAGAGGCAGAGGAAATTACACATAAAAGAGGACAAAGTAATGTGACCGCAGAGGCAGAGATTAGAGTGACGTGGCCACAAGGCAAGGAATGCCAAAAGCCACCAGAGCTGGAAGAGGCAAGGAACGGATTTTACCCTAGAGCATCCAAAGGGAACGTTCTTGATTTGGGCCTCTGATACTGATTTTAGACTTCTGGCTTCCAGAAATGTAAGAAAATCAATTTCTATTGTTTTAAGCCACCAAGTTTGTGGTAATTTGTTACAGCAGCCATAGGAAACTAATATATATTGTAACATCCATCATCACCTAGTACATATAATTTATCCTTTTTTTTCCCCTTCACTGCACTTACTATCTTCTAACATACAGGCATATCTCAGAGATACTGTGGATTCTGTTCCAGACCACCACAATAAAGCAAATATTGCAATAAAGTGAGTCGCCCAAATTTTTGGTTTTCCAGTACACATAAAAGTTATGTTTACACTATACTGTAGTCTATTAAGCATGCAATAGCATTATATCTAAACAAACAATGTATATACCTTAATTTAAAAATACTTTATTGTTAAAAAATGTCACTTATCATCTGAGCCTTCAGCAAGTCATAATCTTTTTGCTGGTGGAGGGTCTTGCCTTGATGTTGAGGGCTGCTACCCGATCGGGTGGAGGCTGCTGAAGGCTGGGGTAGCTGTGGCAATTCTTAAAATAAGACAACAATGAAGTTTGTCACATCGATTGACTCTTCCTTTCACAAACAATTTCTCTGTAGCATGCAATGCCGTTTGATACGTATTTTACCCACGTAGAACTTCTTTCAAAATTTAATCCTCTCAAACCCTGCCACTGCTTTATCAACTAAGTTTACGTAATATTCTAAATCCATTGTTGTCATTTCATCAGTCTTCACAGCATCTTCAACCGGCGTAGATTCTACCTCAAGAAACCACTTTCTTTGCTCATCCATAAGAAGCAACGTTCAAGTTTTATCATGAGACTGCAGCAATTCAGTCACATCTTCAGGTTCCACTTCTAATTCTAATTCTCTTGCTATTTCTACCTCATCTGCAGTTACCTCCTCCACTGAAGGCTTGAACCCCTCAAAGTTATTTATGAGGGCTGGGATCAACTTCTTCCAAACTCCTGTTAATGCTGATATTTTGATCTCTTCTCATGAATCATGTATGTTCTTAACAGCATCTAGAATGGTGAATCCTTTCCATAAGGTTTTCAATTTACTTTGCCCAGCTCCATCAGAGCCATCACTATCTATGGCAGTACAGCCATACAGAATGTATTTCTTAAATAATAAGACTTGAAAGTCAAAATTAATCCTTGATCCATACGCTGCAGAATGGATGTTGTGTTAACAGGCATGAAAACAACATTAATCTTGTTGTACATCTCCATCAGAGCTCTTGGGTGACCAGGTACATTGTCAATGAGCTGTAATAGTTTGAAAATCTTTTTTTCTGAGCAGCAGATCTCAATAGTGGGTTTAAAATATTCAGTAAACCACATTGTAAACAGATGTGCTGTCATCCACGCTTTGTTGTTACATTTCTAGAGCACAGGCAGAGTAGATTTAGCATAATTCTTAAGGGCCCCAGGATTTTCATAATGGTAAATGAGCACTGGCTTCAACTTAAAGTCACCAGCTGCATTAGGCCCTAACGAGAATCAGCCTGTCCTTTGAAGCTTTGAAGCCAGGCAGTGACTTCTCCTCTCTAGCTATGCAAGTCCTAGATGGCATCTCCTTCCAACATAAGGCTGTTTTGTGTACATGGGAAACCTGCTGTTTAGTGGAGCCTCCTTCATTAACTATCGTAGCCAGATCTTCTGGATATTGTGCAGCTTCTACATCAGCACTTGCTGCTTCACCTTGCACTTATGTTATGGAGAAGACTTCTTTCCTTAATCCTCATGAACCAAGCTCTGCTGGCTTCAAACTTTTCTTCTGCAGCTTCCTCACCTCTCTCAGCCTTCACAGAATTGAACGGAGTTAGGGCCTTCCTCTGGCTTAGGCTTTGGCTTAAGAGAATGTTGTGGCTAGTTTGATCATCTATCCAGACCACTAAACTTTCTCCCTATCAGCAATAAGGCTGTTTTGATTTCTTATCATTCATGTGTTCTCAAGCAGCACTTTTAATTTTCTTTAAGAATTTTTCCTTTGCATTCATGACTTTGCTAACTGTTTGGCAGAAGAGGCCTAGCTTTCGGGCTGTCTTGGCTTTTGACATGCCTTCCTCACTAAGCTTAATCATTTCCAGCTTTTGATTTAAAGTAAGAGACATGTGACTCTTCCTTTCACTTGAACACTTAAGAAGCCACTGTAGGATTATTAATTGGTCTAATTTCAATATCGTTGTGTCTCAAATAGAGAGGCCTGAGGAGAAGGAGAGAGACAGGGGAATGGCCAGTTGGTGGAGCAGTCAGAACACATACAAGATTTCTCAATTCAGTTTACCATCACATATGGGCGTGGTTCGTGGCAACCCAAAACAATTACAATAGTAACATCAAAGATCACCGATCACAGATCATAACAAACAATAATAATGAAAAAGTCCGAAATATTGCGAGAATTACCAAAACATGACAGAGAGACATGAAGTGAGCAAATGCTGTTGGAAAAACGGCACCGATAGACTTGCGTGACGCAGGGTTGCCACAAACCTTCAACTTGTAAAAACTGCAGTATCTGTGAAGTGCAATAAAGCAAAGCGCAATAAAATGAGGTAAGCCTACACTACGTGACGTACTTCTATATTCACTTAGTTATTTTCTTTCTTTCTTTGCCTCCCATCATTAATATGTAATATCCCAGAAGGCAGAGATTTTTATGTTTTGTTTATTGCCATGTGGGCACTAGCTTCCATGCCTAGAGCCATATATGGCATATAACAGGCATTCAGTGTTTCTTAAATAAAAAGTTGTTGGAAAAGAAAGGGAAAAAAAGCAGATTAACATGTTTGAGAAAGATTGTTTAACTCAGAATTAACTGAGCTATGAAGCCAAAAATCAAAAACAAAACAGGGAAGCTGGTCACTGTTACAAGAGACCCAGGAGGGTGAAGGTAAAGAAGGCAAGGAATGCTCAACAATATTTTCAACTCAGGAAAAGCCTGTGTTAGAAAAACAATTCAAAATCTGTCTTACCGAAGGTGAGGCAATAATGCGACTTTTATTTATCAATGGTGTGACATTAAGCTTAATAAGGTACCATGTACTGAACGCTCATTACATGCTTGCAACTGTGTTAAGCACTGTACAAATATCACTTTATTTAGTCCTAACAGTAAGTGTTCAAGGTAGGTATTATTATACACAAGTTACGGATGAGGAAATTGAGACAGAGAAAATGGGCAATAGGCCAATAGTCACTCAGCAAGTAAGTATTAAAGCTGAGATGAAAATTTTGGACAAGCTACAAACCAATGCTTTTCACCAATATGCTATTACTATCTCCCTAGTATAATCTAAAAAATATTTACTTTTATTTCCATTTTAGGCTTAGTAAATAAATACTTTATAATCCTAACAATATTCACTGAAGAATTTTTTGTGTGGCTCTATGGGGGGTTAAAAATCTCTGATAATTTTACTAAAAACAGGAATCAGCAATACAACTATTATTGCTGTACATCAAAATCATGCAGATAAAGGTAGCTAGGTAAGTTTCACACAACCAGCCCAGCATAGATCCTTAAACTCAGCCTTTGAGAAACACTGAACAGGAAATCATAGTAAGGTTGTTAAGCAGGAAGATACCATGATCAGATTTATGTATTTAAAAAACTCACTCTATTGGCAGCGTGGGGCATATAATGAAGTACGATGGAACTATACACAGACCAATTAGTTATAAGGCAATTGAGATAGCCCAGGTCAGAGAAAAGGATTTTAGAACCAATAAATGAAAGTAATGACAGTAAATGATTCTTCAGTTGACACTGGCTAGTAAAGAAAAGAGAAAAATAGGGCAAAAGTAAAGGAAAATGTAAGGATACTGTTTTCTTTTTAAGGTAAGAACAAGCTAAATACATTTTTGAGGCTATGTGAAAGTTGATAATAAAATGGGAGGCTAAAAAGAGAAAAGAAATGATTGAAGGGGAACAAGGTTATGGAAAAGGAAAGCAGAGAAAAAATCAAAGACAGAGCTGAAGACATTCACCTCATGAAAAGAAAAAGGGAAATTTCTGACTCTGCGATGGGAAAAAAATGCATAAGCCCATCTTCCTTAAGGAAAACATGAAATAAAAAAACGTTAACTTCCCCTTTAGAGACTTTAATCTGTAAATTATTTCCAGAATTACCAAGCTAAGCATAAAAGTTTCAAATCAAATTGCATTGTTTTCCTATATACCTAAGGAGAAGATAAGAATTCTCTTTGGACTACAACATTTGGTAAGCTAATAATAAGACAAATACATTAGGACCACTTACTACATGTATGTGAATTACTTTTGGAGTTTATGAACACTATTTTGGATAATTATAAAAGTCATGAAATAACTGCTAGTGTGAGAATTTAACAGTAGTGCAATAGAGCTTGGTATAAAAAGATGAGAAACAGTCTACGGTGTCCCTGTCTAGGGCCTTTGAATTAGAAGCTGTAAAGTGTATTAGTTTGCTTGGCCTGCCATAACAAAATACCATAGACTGGGTGGCTTAAACAGCAAAAATGTATTTTCTCACAGTTCTGGTGACTGGACGTCCATGATCAAGGTCTGGTAGGATCGGTTTCTGGTGAGAGCTCTCTTTCTGGCTTGCAGACAGCCACTTTCTGTGTCCTCACATGGCAGAGAGAGCATGAGCTCTCTGGTGTCTCTTCTTATATGGACACTAATCCTACTGGATCAGGGCACCACTCTTATGACCTCATTAACTTGAACTACTTCTGTAGAGATTCCAGCCACACTTTAGGGCTTCAACATATAAATTTTAGGGGGACACAAACATTTAGTCCATAACAATGCTCAATAACTTGGTCCTCTTCTTTTTGCAACAAAGCACCTTTTAAAATAGTTATTTCTGACAGTTTTCTTTAAACACAACAAACATTTTTTGTTTGTTTTACTTTCATTCTTCTCTACTCTGAAACTAGAGAAAAGAGATGAAGATTGATGTCTCTATAAATAAGTAAAAGATCAATAAAGAACTGGATAGGGAAGAGAAGTAAAAGAAAGCTACAATATCAACCTAGGGAAGGGACTTGATCTTATTCTTTCACTCCAGTATTTAATAGTGCCTTGCACATAGAAAGCACTCAGTAAACAGAAGTTTCCTGAATGAAAGGGAGAAAGGACAGTAGAAAAGCTTGGAAGGTAGGAGAATAGAAATAACAGAGGAAAGGGTAGAGAATATGCAAAAAAATAAGCAACTGAATTTTTCTTTGTTAAATCTTTCGTTGGATACCATAAATCCAAGAAAACAAAATCAAGTCATCTACTTACCACTTTAACCACACCCAGCTTCTCATTTGTAATCTGTTCCGTATACTTTCTATATGCTGCATTTTTAGGGATTTGTTCAAGAACATCAAGAATCTTTGTGTACAATATTCTTAACCTCTGAAAAGACAAATCATACAAATTTCCAGTTTAAAATATCACCAAAGATTTAATGAACACTTTAAAAAGTCTCATATTTTAAAAAAAGACTCACATCTGTTTTTTAAAAAAGCATTTCACTCTTCCTTGCTGCCATTTCTTCATGTCTATGCCCTAATTATTGCCTATAACTTAGGAAAAATATGAGTATAAATATGGAAACTTTTCATATGTTGTATGTACAACAAAAGTTGTATGTAAGTCAAAGATACGATAACAAGTAAAAATAAAACTGCATTTTAACTTATTGCTAACAATCTTTTTCGGAAATCAAATAATTTACTAACAGTATTTCTCAAACTGAGGTCCTAGGCACCGTAAATTCTCATTTTGTTTTTCAATTTTTCTTGTCTGAATGTCTGTAGAAATAAAATATATATTATATAAGCAGTAGATTATCAGTATGATCAAATTTAACTGAATGTACTTATACTTCAGTGCTTATGCTTATGATGGAGTTGGTACCATGTGAATGAAGGTTTCACCAAAGGCTCAATAGAGAAAAGCAGCAAGAGAATTGAGTCACCGCACAGCATATACTGAAGGACACTGAACTTCAAGTTCAGTACAGCAGTCAGCAGTAAAGTCACATGGTTAGAAGTTGTTATGGCAGATCCTACTCACAACAGTTCAGTAAGTATAATCATAAATACACATATGTAATGAAGAATTTTTTATTATTTCTTTGTATTTAATTTGAAATTTGTTTTAATTGTATAAAATCCATAAGCACTAATACCTAGTTTCATTCATATATATATTCATAATATATATGAATAAGCAAACTAACTTTGAGGGCCTCTAAGAATCATTTTTCTTAAAAAGTAGTCTACCTATTTTAAGCCAGACAGAGAAGACAAACACTGCATGACCTCTCTCATATGTGGCATATAAACTAACACACAGCCAGAGAGAACAGTCTGGTGGTTACCAGGGGGAAGGGAATTGGGGGGTGGGCACAAGGCGTGAAGGGGCACACTTATATGGTGACTGACAAATAATAATGTAAAATAATAATGTACAACTGGAATCTCGCAATTATAGTAGTTATACACTACTATGAAATCAATAAAAAAATTTTTAAAAAGCAGTCTACCTATTTAGACATTATTTATATATTTGAATATGATGTTCCATAACAGAGGATATTTTACTATACTAATGCAGAGCTTGTCAGATAACACCTAATCCAAATTGTGTTGGGTTTTATAGCCTCATTTCTTCTTAATTTCAGCAAAGCATATGACAATAGAAAGGCCTAGTAAGAGACTTGGGTTCTAAAATGGAGATGTTAATAATAATCTGCTTCACAGAGTGAATACAGCTTAGAACAGTACCTGGCACACAGTAAAGTTCAATAAATGTTAGCATTATTATTCTATAAGGGAAGGAGGAGTCACTTCAGCAGATAGAAGAGAAGGATTCATAAAAAAGGCAGCATCTGAGACAGACCTGGAGGGATGGCAGAACTTGGACACTTAAAGATGTAAAAGGCAATTTTACACATAGAATACATACATAGGATTGAATGGCAGAAAATACAGAGAACATAAAGTAATCAGTACACAGTTCTATTTTCCTTCAACGATGCTGTCCAATACAGCAGCCACTAGCCAAATATGGCTATTGAGCACTTGAATGTGGCTAGTCTGAACTGAGATGTGCTATAAGGGTAAATACACACTGAATTTTGAAAATTTAGTATGAAAAGACTGTAAAATATCATTAATTTTTTATATTGATTACATATTGAGATGTAATATTTTGGATATGTTAGGTAAAATAAATTATTAGCTTTTACCTTTTTCTTTATTAAAATGTGACTCCTAGAAAATTTAAAATTATAAACATGGCTTACATTTGTTACTCACAGTATATTTTTACTGGACGGCACGTGGCTAGAATACAGGACAGAGGAAATGCTTAGGAGACAAGGTTGGAGAAAAAGTGAGTCAGATTATAAGTGGTTTTGCATGCCAAGTTAAAGCGTTTGGGCTTTATTCTGTGGGCAATTAAAAGAATTAGGGAAACTGTATGATTAGATCTGTGTTTCAGGAAAATTAACCTGGTAGTAGTGAGTTAAAAGAATTGGATGAAGGAGACACAGGCAGAAAGGCCAGTAACAAGGTTGTTGCAATTCTCTAAACAAAAGCAAGAGACTAAACCATGGTAATAACAGTAGGAAAAGGAAAGAGAGGTTAGACCAGGGAGCTGTTGTAGAAAAGGATCAAGAGAACTCGTTACTGGAATGAACATGAAGATACAAGGGGAAGAGAAGTATCAACTATGACGTCCAAATTCCCAGCCTGGGGAGTAGAAAGACTCTGATACCATCAAGAAAAACAGAATCCACAGTGGAAGATTAGAAAAGGAAAACCATGAATTCAGTTTTAGACAATAATGAGTCTAAAGTCATTATGAACTTATAAGGGGTACAAGACATTCACTCAACAAACATTACTCACTGAGCACATACTATGTGCTAGTCATAGTTCTAGCAGGGAACAAAAGAATAAAAAGAATCTCTACCTTCATGAAAACCTACATTCTGGTAGAGACAACAAACAAGATAACTCAGTAGAATACAAGTCTATCAGTGATCTGGAAGGCCACTGTATGGACTCTTTTATTTAGAGTGAAATGGGAAGCCATCAGAGGGTTTTGAGGAAAGCAGTGACATGACCTGACTCACATTTTAGCAGGCTGACTCTAGTTTGTTGAAAAAAGACCAAACTGAGGCAGTGACAAGCTGGAAGAGGCAGTTAGGAAGCAAATGCAATTATCCACAGCAGTGAGGATGGTGGCTGAGAAGGTGGTAGCAGCAAAGGAGGTGGTCAGAAGGGGTCAAAATCTGGCTATAATTTGAAGGTAGAACCCAGAGGGTTTACCGAAGTACCAAATGTGGGGTGTGAGAGAAAAAAAGGAATTAAAGACGATTTCAAGGTTTCTGATTTGAGTGACTAGAAGAATGGAACTGCCATTCACTGAGATGAGCAAGCCTGAGAGAAGAGCAGGTTTCAGGGAGAAGATCAGGAACGCACTTTTGGACATGTTAAGTTTGGGTTACCTGTCTGACATCTAAGTGGAGATGTCCACTAAGCAATGAAAGATAGAAGATTTGCATAAAGGGAGAGGTCAGTGTTTGATATGGAAATCCAAGAGTTGTCAGTATTTAAAACCATTACACTGGGTCCAGACACCAAGAGAGAGCAAATATAAATAGAGAAAAGGTCCAAGAACTAAGTCCCAGAACTCCAAAATTTGAAAGTGGGGATACGAGCAATAACCAGAAGAGGAGAAGGCAAAAAAGTAGGGGAAAAAAACAAGGAGATTGAGGTGTCATGAAGCACAGCAACCAAAGTGCTTGACGGAGACAGTGCCAAATGTGTCAAATGCTGCTACCGGGTCAATTAAGCTGAGAAGCGTTAACTGATCATTGGATTTAGCAGCATGGTGACTTTGAAAAGAAAGAGCAGTTCTGACCAAGCCTGACTGTAGTGCCTTCAAAGGGGAATAAGAAAAACAGGAGACATTTAAGTACAGATAACTCTTTTGAGTTATCTATAAAGGAAAGGACAGAAATGGTGTCATTATTGGAGGGAAGAGAAGGATCGAGGGAGATTTTGCGCGGCTTTTCAGATGGAAATATGTCTGAATACTGATGGGAAAGACCTACCAGAAAGGGAAAACTGATGACAAAAGGAGGCAATTGCTAGAGCGATATCTTCGGTACGGATCTAAGGCTCCTAGGCAGAAAGAGGGGGAAGGAAGAAAATGGAGATATGGATTTGGGAAGGTACTCACAAAAGTAAAAGGGAAGCCACGAGAATGCCATGGAAAAAGTCAAAGAGAAAAGTGGTTTAAGAAAGACGACGGCCAAAAAAAAAAGAGCAGCACCAGATCAACGAAGTAAATACCGCTGTCTCGCGAGCTCACGCTGAGTTGTAATTTTGGGCTTGAAATACCCACATTCCGTTAACCTTTCAACAAAAGGTGGTAGGCTTCTGGTCTTCCTTGGGAACTCAGTAATGAAGAAAGAAAAGAGGTACATACCTCGTGCGGACTCTCACATACAGCCAATCCCACAAGGCCAGTGGTCTGTGCAAAAACAAAACACGATTCATGCTGCTGACTACAATTCCGCGCGGCCCGACGCTAAGAAGGGCAAAACCACCACTCCCCGGGCTAACACCGGCCTAAACCCAGCTGCCCGTCTCTCAATGCCGCTTCTTCGGAGCGTTTTTCTGCCTCTCCGAGCGGAGCCACTAAACTGGTCACCCCTAAGGGCAGAGCAAAACGAGTCCCCAAAAAGCACCGCCAAGCCCGCGCAGATACGGCCACCACCCGCAGGCCCACTCTACTCCCACAGTCTGAACTCCATCAATGACCTCCATTCGCCTCACCTTCTTCAGCACGCCCGCCATGACAGCGCCGACCAGCCGAGAACGCGCGGCCCTCTGGGAACCTCGCCCAGACCCGCTCAATCCACCACCGAGGCCGCCGCGCCGTCGCCTTGGAAACAGCCTGGCCCCTCCCCCTCAGGATCTCTACCGGGGCAAAGGCTCTGCCCCGCCCATTCCTGAGGGGAAATTGACGCATGCGCAATGAGTACACGAGCGTCTAAACCCGGCTCTTGGGAAAAGGCTTGTGCTGGGTGTCTTACGTCTGGGTTCCTGCCCGTGTTGCGCTGACGGCTTGCACCAAGGTTGAGGGAAAGACTCTAAGCTACCAAAAAACCCCGACATAGTCGCTCTGGGAACTTGTACTCTCCTCAACCGTGGGCGAATTCCTCAACCTCTCTTCCACAGGGTAGTCTAGTAAAATAAGGGTGGTCATGGAGCTATCATGACATCTAAGTGATCTCTTAGTTGCAAAGGTTAATTCCTAGCACCAGGATCAGTATTCTCGGTCTTATGCGCCAAAGCAGTATGCAGTGAAAGGCCATTTCTCATCGCAACTCTTTTCCATTTCACTCCCTCACATCCTCCATTTTCTCATTTTCCGAGGTAAAGTGATACCAGACCACCCCACTTACTTCTACAAACATTCATTGAGCACCCATTATGTGTTAGTTACTGGGACATAATTTGTAAGGCAGGATCTCACATGCTGGAATTCACAGAACAATGATGAAGACATGCGTTAATAAGAAATTTGGTAAATGTGCTAAAGGAGGTTTGTGCCAGATGCAGTGGGAAAAAGGAAATAACTAGGCAAAAATTGTGGGTGACTGGAGTTAAAGAAGGCATTTGCTAAAAAGCCGATTGGAAGAAAAGCAGAACAAATTGAGAGAACACAAGTACAAAGGAATATATATTCTATATATACATATAGAATAGCAAAAGGCATAACTTAAATAGTAAAACAACCCGCAGAATGGGAGAAGATATTTGCCACTACATATAAAAGATAGGTGGTGACTAGAATATATAAAGAACTTTTATAAATCTGTAAGAAAAGAACTAATAACCAGAACAGGTCTCCCTGCTGCCATTCTTGCCTCCCTCTCGAGAATATATTAAATGGGTTAATATATGTAAAGTGCCTGGCTGGGTGCACAGGACATGGCACAACATAAGTGCTTGTTATTAATTTTTTATTTTGCTATTATTATTCTCAACCCAGTAGCTAGAATAATCCTTTTAGAAAGTATTTTGCTCAAAATTCTCACGCAATTTTTCACTCAAGGTGTAAAAGCCCAAGTCCTTATACCTGCCTATAAAGCTCTGCACGAGATTGCACTTCTGCTCCTCACCTCTCAGACCTAACCTCCTACTCCCCTCTCCTTGCTCAGGGAGCTGCTCTTCTAACCCTTTTCCTGGAAAATCCTTCCACCAGATGGGCACATGGCTAGCTCTCTCACCTCTTTCAAGTCTTTGTGCAAATATTACCCTCTCAGTGTGGCCTGTCCTGGCCATGAAATTTAAAATTGCAAATCACCATGAGGATACTCCTTACCCTCTTCTATGCTTCTGTTTTCTTCATAGCCTGTATCACCTTCTCATATGCTATCTAATTATCTTACTTATATTGTTTTTATGTGTCATCCTTTCTAGAATATAAGCCATAGGTAGGTGGAAATTTTTTCCTTCCTACCACATCTCAAGTGCCTAAAATAGTGCGTGGTACATAATAGGCACTGAACAAATATATTTTTAGTGAATACAACAGAAAAATAGGCAAAGGAAATGAATATGCAATTGACAGAAGAGGAAACATGAATGGTCAATAAACATGAAAAGGACTCAACCTCCCTAATAAAGGAAATGCAAAATAATTATAATTTTACTGCCATCTTATGGACAAAAATTAAGGACTTATCAAAAAATATCAAACTTAGCAAGGACGTGGAGCAACAGGAACATTCATATGCTGCTGGTAGGAGTGAATTGATATATTCACTTTGGGGAATAATTTTACAATAGTTAGTTGAAGATATGCAAAACCTATAACTGAGTGTTACGGGTTGAATTGTGTCCCCTCCAAAATTCATGTGTTGAAGTCCTAACCCACTGTGCCTCAGAATCTGACCTTATATGGAAATAGGGTCATTGCAGATGTAATTAGTTGACATGAGGTCATTAGAGTGGGCCCTTGTCCAATATGACTGGTGTCCTTATTAAAAGGGGACATGTGGACACGGAGAGATACACACAGGAGAACGCCATGCAAAGATGAAGGCAGAGATCAGGATGATGCTTCTACAAGCCAAGAAACACCAAAGATGCCAGAAAACCACTGGAAGTTAGGGGACAGGCATGGAAAAGATTCTCTCTCTTAGCCTTCAGCAAAAACGAACTCTGCTGACACCTTGTTCTCAGACTTCTAGCCTCCAGACAGATGAGCTAACATTTTTTATGCTGTTTAAGCCACTCAGTTTGTGGTATTTTGTTACAGCAACTCTATAGACTAACACTGAGTAATAAGGTAGTTTGATCATATGCTCCTCTCTTCCGTCAGGATGGCTGTCCCTAGAAACATGAGCCGTGGGGATTTAATCTTTCCAGTTCAGATTACCTAAGAATTAGGCTTTACCATAACTTCCGTCATAATTTCCAACTTCTAGTATTTAAATCATCCTCAATTACAATTCAGGACAGAGGAAATCTATATTAACAAATATGCATGTCTTAATGGCATTTTAAAGATACACATAACACACATGTTCATGGATGTACACACATACATAAATATAAAGAAACTATTGATTTGGAACAAACTGTCTGATGCATCCATTTGCTCCTACAAAGGTGACGTATGTTTTTTGACACACTAGATTAGATTCAGGAAACCACATTAGGATTGGGAGGGAATGTCCTTATTTTTCAAACCACATAATGCTGAAATAGTCACTGGAATTTAGATGAATGGAAGTTTATGAGGTCACAGTCTTTGTTCCTTGTTGCTCCAGAGTCTAACAATTTTCATCATTGTGAGGTGTGTTCTGGAATGTAGAATCATGGGATTATAAAAGATGCATGTGTTTTCACGTGTTGTAACTTTGGTTCAGGCTTCTGCCGTACCATATTTGCTAAAGACACCGTGGCTAGACAGACCTAGCTGATCCTGACTAAGGTACTACATAGCTAACCAGTCCTATGTGGTGGGAAAATGTGTTGGTTTTCTGAGCCAACCCCTTTGCAGAAGTGCGGGTTGGGTATGGAGGGGGCTTGATAGTGGTATTCTATGGCTGGTGACAGTAGAATTAGCTACAAAGGAAAATCAACCTTGGCATCTGTGATATCAGAAGGGGATTGGGGAATGTCTTAATGTGAATAGTAAGGGCATCAGATGCCCCATATTCTCAGTTAGGAGAGAGTTCCCGGAGGGGTAAATGTTCGAATCCTCTCAGGAAGGAGACAGATGTTGGAAAGTTCTTCTGTAAATAAAGTTAGCAGGCCAGGTGACTTAGAGCTAAAGTCTGGATCTCATGTTTTACACACTTCGCTCTGCAGGACATTCAGCCTATCCAATAAGGGAGATCTTGTTTCTTCAAAATTAAGTAACTGCAAGAGTTAGGACCTCCTACACTGCTTCTTAATGACACCGGCTCTTTCGTGAAGGGCTGGATCTTACCAAAGTTAGGCAGTTAAAATGTTTCCTTGGAATGTCCAGGAGCTATGCTGAGGGAGCTATTACCTGAGGGAGGCATGAGACCAAACAATTGAAAAGGAAGAAAATATTTCAATTTTCAGGGCATGAGGGGCTCATTCCTGAAAATCCAGAGGGGACTAGTACTGCCTTGGCCAGTTTCACCTTAGTTTTCATGATTAGAGAGCAGAGGTGAAAATAATCTCCACTCAGGGAATATTCTTTCCTCTCCCAAACTTGGCAACAAAGCAAATCATTTTGTTCAAATTAGTTCTCAGAACAGACTGACATATTAAAATTCTAATAGTTTGGGGGCCGGCCCAGTGGCATAGTGGTTGGGTTCGTGCACTGTGCTTCAGCAGCCCAGGGTTTGCAGGTTCAAATCCCAAGTACGGACATACACACCGCTCACTCATCAAGCCAGGCTGTGGGGCGGCATCCCACATGCAAAATAGAGGAAGATGGGCACAGGTGTTAGCTCAGGGCTAATCTTCCTCAGCAAAAAGAGAAGGATTGGCAACAGATGTTAGCTTAGAGCCAATCTTCATCACCAAAAAAAAAAATTCTAATAGTTTGGATATTATCCATTTCTTGTGCCTCCATTCAGATCAGGAATGTTCAAAAGAATCGGATTTTTTTCTGTCTTCTTTGTCTATGCTATGGATACTTCTAAAAACTGTCCATAGCAGGAAGATGTATGTTTCTAATACAGTGGTTTTTAGAACCTTATTCTAAATTGGGCTGTAACTCAGACAAAAGACATGACCCAGTTTTATCTTAGTGGCTATGAGCTTCCATGCATGAGTATTATCTAATGTGTGAAATTGGGGATATCCAACACTCCCACCCAGATTTGGATTAAGTTTGGCATTGAGGTTAAACACAGGTATCTCTAGTGAAAATAGAACCTACGGGAGGATCGAATAATAAAGATTTCTAGCCACCTCTCCCCTGCCAATGCAGGCGTGTCTAGCTCCACTTCTGTGTACCAAATGCTGCTGTTCCCCATTTATTTTTTTTTTTATTTTTTTTTTTAAAGATTTTATTTATTTTTTGCCCCCAAAGCCCCAGTAGATAGTTGTATGTCACAGCTGCACATCCTTCTAGTTGCTGTATGTGGGACTCGGCCTCAGGCTGGACAGAGAAGTGGTGCCTCGATGCGCACCCGGGATCCGAACCCCGGCCGCCAGCATCGCAGCGCGTGCACTTAACCACCAAGCCACAGGGCCGGCCCTGTTCCCCATTTAAAAGCAAGAAAGGAAAGAAGTGCTGAAAGGCAGGAAGTTTGTTTAAGAAGATGATATTTATTTTATGAGATTAAAATAAATAAGCATTTATTTAAATAAGCAGTAATAAGAATATACCAATAAAATGGTAATAAAACGGTAATTTTTTAAAAAAATGAAT